TTGAAGCATCGTGGGCTTCCATAGCCCACGATGCTGCAACTGCACTAAAGTGAAAGCTTTTCAATGCCATTCTCTACCTTCCCCGAAATTCTTTGGTACAGGTAGAGAATGGCATTGAAAAGCTTTCACTTTAGGCAGGATCTCTGGTGCTAAATGCAAGACAACCATATCCTGTTAAAATTCAGTGAATGGGGGTACACAGGATCAAGCCTGGAGTTCACACATTCACCTTGCTGAAGTACCAGCCACCAGCAACAGCACCGTCTTTGCTATCATCATGGAAGCTCCTGCTAGAAGTTTGAATGATTGTTTAGTCAGAGCCTGTAAGACCAGTGGTAGGTCACAAATGGACTTCAACACCCTCAGTGAAGGCTTGAGTTTAATTGCTGCTTGCATTAAGCAAAGCACCAGAGGCTCCGATACTAAATGGGTACCCTTCAGTGCAGGTAGAGAATGAGTTATAAGCATTCACCTTAGGCAGGTTTTTTGGTGCTAAATGGAAGACAACAATATCCTGTTGAAAATGAGTGAATGGAGGTAAACAGGCTCAAGCCTGGAGTTCACATTCACACATTCACCTTGCTGAGATACCAGCCACCAGCAACAGCACTTTCTGTGCTGACACCATGGAAGAGGTTCGAATGGTGGTTTAGTCAGAGCCTGTAAAACCAGAGGTAGGTCACATATGGACTTCAACATCCTCAGTGGAGGGTGTTGAATTTAATTGCTGCTTGCATTAAGCAAAGCACCAGGGGTTCCAATGCTCAATGGGTACCCATCCATGTGGAAAGTGCCAATCTGTGCTCGTCTAGAGTTTTATAATTTAGACCATATCAATGCCTGATTGAGGAGTAATTCCAACCTCTATTCTTGAGACCAACAGACAAATGCATGCCAAGCTTGTAATCTATAAAGTATTTATAGGCTTGTAAGAGGATCTCAATGACCGTCTCAGGGTTGCGTATACTTGTAGAGACACCAGCCTCACCACCTGAGCTTAAGGATCTTGGTCCAGTATGTCTGGACGTACTGGAATTTCCCTTGGAGGTTCCAGATTTATCTTACTCATCATAGGAGTCTAGAGTCTTTGTGGCCTTCCACTGTCTCCTTTGAATTTCCTTTAGGAATGTTGAAGACAGGAAAAATATTACATGTTGCGAAGTATAAAAGTACAAAAGGGCACTGTCAAATTCTATAACCAAGAAAACAGTCAAACAGATTTAAACTGGCTGAAACAGCACTTACCCATGTCTGGAGAACCTGCAAATACTTTCCAAATAAGTTTGGGATGTTTACAGTAATTTTTCCTCCATTTTAGGTACTTACTGGCAATTGCCCTAATCCAAGATTTCTGCCGCAATCTGTATTCCCATAATGCAAGTCATTGACTTTTAAGGCACAAGCTGCACATGCGCGGGCATCTTTCAAGTGCATTTGCTGGCTAGAGACCAGGGAGAGAGCTCAGACTGCAGCATACATAGTCCCTGAACACCCAGGGAACTGGGAATAAATCTCCGGGACTGAGGGAAAGCATAAAGTAAAAGTGCCTGCAAAGTTATAAAAAGGCAACAAGGTGCAAAAAATAACGAAAGTTAAAGGCATCTTAGTAAAAAAAGGCATCGCAGCATAAGGAAGCAAAGGCACAGCTGCATAATGCACTACCGTTTTAAAAATATTACTGCTAAAGGAACAGCTGCATAATGCACAACACTTTAAAGACATCACAATTGAAATGCATCACAGTTTAAATGGATGACAGCATAAGGCACAGCTGCATTAGGTACCCCAGCTTAAATGAATCAGAGTGTAAAAGTACCATATTATAAACACACTACAGTATGAAGGCACCATAGCAAAAACAAATAAAGTAATGAAGAGAAAAAAACCTACATGTCCATGAGTAAAGGGAGCAAAAATGCCCACACCCTAAGGGCTGTAGGACAGGAAAAAGACAGAGGGACCTATGCAGGGATACTCCTTTTAAATGTTTTGTTTTATTCCTGTCCTATCGGCTGTAAGGGGAGGAGTTAACCCATGTGTATATGCTGCCATGATTAGCCAGCAAAATATAGATATTACTATTTTAATGCTGCCTCCACCAAGACAATTCATAAATGGGGTGCCTTGGTCCCCCAGGTAACTTAATAATAAAAACTCAACAAATTTAGCACAATATCTATGCAAAACACTTATTAAAGGACCACTCTAGGCACCCAGACCACTTCAGCTTAATGAAGTGGTCTGGGTGTCAGGTCCAGCTAGGGTTAACCCATTCTTTCATAAACATAGCAGTTTCAGAGAAACTGCTATGTTTATGAATGGGTTAAGCCTTCCCCCTAATCCTCTAGTGGCTGTCTCATTGACAGCCACTAGAGGCGCTTGCGTGCTTCTCACTGTGATTTCACAGTGAGAGCACGCAAGCGTCCATAGGAAAGCATTGTAAATGCTTTCCTATGCGACGGGCTGAATGCGCGCGCAGCTCTTGCCGCGCGTGCGCATTCAGCCCAGGAGGAGGATCGGAGGCGGAGAGAAGGAGGAGAGCTCTCCACCCAGCGCTGGAAAAAGGTAAGTTTTTAACCCTTTCCCCCTTCCAGAGCCGGGCTGGAGGGGGTCCCTGAGGGTGGGGACACCCTCAGGGCACTATAGTGCCAGGAAAACGAGTATGTTTTCCTGGCACTATAGTGGTCCTTTAATTGGTCTTTTCAGGTAACGTGATTCTTTACCAGACAAAGGCAGAACTTAATAAAGGAATATTTATTATGAGCAAAAAATAGTCACAGTGCATACAAAAATATAGATGACGATCAAATTAGTTACACCAACAAGAGATAAAAAACAAAAATGATAAAATAACAGAAGTCCTAATAACGTACTCACTTTTTTTTCAAAGTGAAACTTCTCCCCACGGGGTCTCTGGCAAGGAAGATGATGACTCACCCAAAATTAGATTTTGGCCCCAAACAAATACAAAACACATTTCCAAGTGTATTTGGCACTGAAATAATAATTGCATCTGTGAATTTGTTGCCAATTTTCCATTCCATAGATATGTCACACTTCTTACTTGTGGCCCAATATAGCGGACATCACAATCCCTTCCTAAATGGCTTAAGTTACATTAGGCTTGATTACAATATCGTGCTTGTCCCATTCTAAGTATAACAACACATTAGGCTTAATTATTCATCTGTGGGTAAGTATTAATGTTTCGTTTGGATATGATACTGGAACACAAGGATTTTCTTGAAGGCTAATGGCCATTAACATATCAAAGAAATGAACTATCAATTAGGAGTTTCAGGCCATATGGTCGAAGTGAGTTAGTTTACATTGGAACTAGACATACAGGCAGCTCATATGTGGACTTTCACACCTTCCAGAGTAATTTAGAGTAGAAGAATTTAGGTTGTAAACCTTCTGACCTCTCATACAATCAAATTAACCCCTTTTGAAATTGACAATACCACCTCTACCAGGCAGCCAGTTTATCTATTCATTATACAAATGACATTAAATTTCAATATTCTATAGTGCAGAAATGAATTATGCAACCTTGGTGTGACACCTCCCCCAAATAAGATACCCAATGGGCGAAGGCTATCATGCCTCTACCTTATGTGTTAGTACTTGTTCTTTCTTTCCTCCACATCATACACTCATCTTTTTCATAACACTGTCTATGTATGTATGTATGTATGAGGTAGCCCTCATGTGTTTGCCCACCTCCTCCAAAAAGGCTTGCATTTAGTCCCTAAGCCATATCACAGCCATGTCCACAACAAACATGCCTGATTTGCCTGTTTACATTTCCCTTGGGCCACACCCATTGCACCCATGTAGTATCTCTAAGGGGAAGAAACCAACAAATTTCTGCAGCACTCAAAAGATGAGACAGAGAACAGTCCCAGGGTACCTTCGCTTCATCAACTCTCTTCATCTCTTTTATTTTGATCTCTATCTGCTGGGCTTGTTGCACTTTCTGACTCCCTCCGAGCAATGCTGTTCCTCCACATTTTCACACAACACAAACCATTGTGTGGAAATCTATTCCCAAACTGGACTTTACATAGGAGACAAGGTCATGCGTTTAACCCCTTAAGGACACATGACATGTGGGACATGTCATGATTCCCTTTTATTCCAGAAGTTTGGTCCTTCAGAAGTTAAACTGAAAGAAAGAAGATTTTGTCTAAGGCAAAGAAAATGTTTTTTTTTTTTACTGTAAGTAAAACTCTGTAAAAAAATACAATGTTAGCAAGATATTACTTTGCTGCAGAGGGATATAGATAGACTGGGGGACTGGCACTCAAATGGTAGATAAAATTTAATGTTGAAAAATGCAAAGTTATGCATTTCGGCGTAAAGAATACACAAGCAACGTATACCCTTAATGGAAGCGAATTAGGGATAACCACACATGAAAAGGACTTGGGAATTGTTATAGACAACAAACTATGCAACAATGTGCAATGTCAATCAGCAGTGGCCAAGGCCAGTAAGGTATTGTCATGCATGAAAAAGGGCATTCATTCTTAGGATGAGAATATCATTTTGCCTCTTTATAAATCACTGGT